CAAGGTTGACTCAGCCTTCCATCCTTCCGAGGTGGGTAAAATGAGGACCCGGATTGTTGTTGGGGGCAATATGCTGACTCTGTAAACCACTTAGAGCCCTATGAAGCGGTATATAAGTGTAACTGCTATTGCTATTGCTATTGCTATTAGAGACTGTGGCAAGAAAGATTGTAAGATGGGGGCAAAATTCGCTGAAATGTTACGCTTAGCAAGTTTTGGCTCGACGGTGGTCATAAGTCAAGGACTTCCAGCACAGCATAGTTGACATATGTCTTTTCTCATTGCTTCTTTCTTCTACTTCTTTTTGTGCCGTGATTTCCTCTTTCAATGTTTTAAAACAGGGGTGTCCAAACTTGGCAACTTTAAGACTTGTGGACTTCAACTCCCAGAAGTCCCCAGCCAGGATAACTTGCTCTCTTCTGATCCCTTCCTCTGCAATCTCTCCACTTAGATCAGAGGTCTTCCAACTTGGCAACTTGAAGATATGTGGACTTCAACTCCCAGAAGTCCCCAGCCAGGATAACTTGCTCTCTTCTGATCCCTTCCTCTGCAATCTCTCCACTTAGATCAGAGGTCTTCCAACTTGGCAACTTGAAGACTTGTGGAGTTTAACTCCCAGAATTCCCCAGCACAGGTCTTCAAGTTGCCAAGTTTGGACACCCCTGTTTTAAAAGAAAACGAAGCCCAAATCCTCTCCGGTTCCCTTTAGCTACTGGTTAGCCGCTTGAAAACCACAATGAAAAAAAGGCAACTGGACAACTGATGTTACTCCAACAGTTCTGAATCTCAGTCAGATCCCGTGAAATAGAAAAACTGACCTGGGCAGGTGAGGCCAGTACATCTCGCGAGCTCATCTGAGGAGGAGGAGGCAGCTCAAACATGAGTGCAGAAACCGGAATGCTATAAAAAGTTTGCGGAACCAAAGGGAGAGGCTGGCATCTTTCAGGATGTATTGTGACGATGGAAAAAAGAAAAATGCATTTCAGGTCAACTCGACCAGTTTGTCCCAAAACTCAGGTCCAGAATTCAGGAGTGGCAGAATGAGAGAATTGCGAAATCTCACAGGGCAAAGGATGATTTGTGCAAAGAAGAAAACCCAGTATTAGCACTAGATCTTGAGGGATAAACAAAGCAGACAGCTTAAATCATACCCGGAGCAGAGCCATATATAAATCAAGTCGAATGGAGTTAACACTTGAATCCCATTGACTTCTCTGGATCTACTCCAAGAACAGCCGAGAGTGGGTCAAATCCATTCATCCCAGTCTCTCTGACAGTTCCTGGGTCAAAAATGCTGCTTCTAAGGGTAGCCGGCACAGGCAAACACAACCTTCCATACCACCAAGTATTAGCCGTGATAATTGATGAAACCAACTCGGCTTTAATGATCCAACCTGGAGCTCCCTCTGTATAGGACCGAGTTGAGCCTGTTAAAAGGCCTGGACTTCAACTCCCAGCGCACTGGCTGGGGAATCCTCTGAGTTGAGGATCGGAAAGCTCTTAAGGTTGATAAACATTGACATTGGACTTACGAGGGCCCATTCTCACGAATTAAGGTATGTTGCACATTGGAGTGTTTCAAATGAAGTTTAAGCATCCATGGAGATTCTCAGTCCTCCAGGTCCTGGTTGCCCCAAAGGTGCTTTTTCAAGAGGCAACTGGACTTCCTTGTTTTTCTTTGAAGGCCTTTCACTTCTCATCCAAGAAGCTTCTTCAGCTCTTCAGCTGATCCAAGAAGCTTCTCCAATGAGCCGAAGAAGCTTCTTGGATGAGAAGTGAAACATCTTCAAAGAAAAACCAGAAAGTCCTTTGAAGACATTTTGTTTCCCATCCAAGAAGCTTCTTCAGCTCTGCTCTTCAGCTGACCCAAGAAGCTTCTCCAATGAGCCGAAGAAGCTTCTTGGACGAGAAGCGAAATGTCTTTAAAAAAAACAAACAAAGAAAGTGGAAAAAGCACCCTTGGCAGAATGAAGCTTAAGGTGGCAGCAAATGCCCACTTGCCACTTGTTCCCGGAGAGCACCGTCAAAGTAATTAAGATTTCCTGGGTGTATTAATAAACCTTGAGCTGTTTACAACAGAGGCTCAGGGACTATATATAACCAGCGGGTTAACTACTGCTATTTTGAGGCTTCCCCGAGAAGGTTTGAGTACCGCTTGGTGGCTTTCTCTTCTCTGGCACCTGGATTTAGAACAGTGCTTGGCCATGACTTCACAGCGTCTTTAGCTTCCCCCCCCCCCACACCCTGCACCAGATGCAAAGTGGTTTCTGATATCCCTTGAATGCAGCTTCCATGTTGCAGCAAACGTCTTTGTTCTTGGGGATTTGAAGCTCCGGCTGGTGTTTATTTCAGGAGCTGGAATTTGGTTTGGTAGCAACCAGCAACGCAGACCTCTTGCCTTGAGGTGGAGAAAGGGGGAGGGCAGCTGTCCTGGAGAAGGAAATCCCAACTGAAGCTGGGAAATCCCTCCAGAAGGGATTGTAAAGCTGCACCCTTGGGTCGATTCCTCTTTCCTCCTAACCAGGTGGACTCCTGGTCAGGAGGGGCTGCTGAGGACCTCCAGGAGTCTCGCAAGACTTCCAACTCCAGAGGATGAGCAGTCTCTATTGCCTCTTGCGCAGGTTCCTTCAATCAGGCATTAGTGGAGCATCCAAGCTCACCATTCTGCCTCATCCAGACCTCTCTTCATGTTTCGTTGCAAAAAATGTTCTTAACATATTGACAG